TTTGGTAACTTTAAGAAGAATATGGGTACAGCTCTGCTAATTTAATATTTATAAGATAATTCATATATAGCTTTTAGAGGAAGTGAAATATTCTTTCCTCAGCTATACTCTTGGATGCTGTTTGTTTGTCTGTTTGTCTGAGTTTGTCTTGGCTACTAAGTAAATCTTGTACATGCTGTTGTCCTTGATTTATCTTGTACGTTCAGGTACCGCTGCTCAAAACAACAAATTGCCAATGGAACAATTGAAGTAGTTGCAGCCATAATATTGTACAATGATTTTTTTGGGTCTTTTTTAGCACTTTTTCCTGAGTGCAGTGGAACTAAAGTCTCATACTGGGTATCAGTTTCCACTTTCCAGCTCCCTATAACTGAACAAATTGCTTTGAATCAGATTCACTGGCATGGTCTGTTCTTTGTTATATTGGTTCAGTGTGATTACAGGATCAAGACTAGGCTTTGCATCAAATGATGACAGACTACATGGATTCTCCTAGTAATGTGTTCTCCTGTAGCCAGCCATATGTTGCTAAATTCTTGGCTTGTTGCTTGTTGAAGAGCTCCGCTGACTTTGGATCATAAAGGAAAGATTAGAAAGCTTGTATGATTGAATAAAAAGCATAATAATCAAAAGCATTATCCCATTCAGGTACTGGCTGCACTTGAATTGAATGCAAAATGTTTTTCATTATAAAATCATTCGGAAAGTGTTTTTCAGCCAAGTTGTTAAGTTATTAATATGCCACTTGCTGCTAGTTACTAACCAAGCCACTATAAATCCCAAAGTAGATTATTTGACAAATGCATGTTACCCTTCATCTGAACCCAGACGCACACCCTTTATAGATACCTTAAAACATATGCAAGTGGTGATACATGCAATTGCACAGAAAGACACAAATGTACAGATAACTTCACTGGATGATTACATTTTATTTATTACAACCAATGTTGTCAGCTATGGCAAATTTGCTCTTCATGGCAAAAGAAGAAAAGGTTCAACTTCACATATGAAAGGTACTTTCAACTACTCCATTATTTTCCAAGAAGTCATCACAGCAGTAGATCTGCCCTGCAGGTTTGATTTGGCACAGATATTACACCGGATGCTCTTCCTGATGTAACCCTCCCAATTATCCTGGCTTGGGACAGGAACCAAGAGTACACTGACTTTGACCTCCTGAGGCTGTATTTTCGTCTCCTCCGGGAATCACACTGTAAGCCAGTTTCACATGAAAGGCAAATGTGTTATTCACTAACCATGGAAAAGCCATACTTTACAATACCTTACTTTATTATTATTATTATATTTATAAACATTAACATAATCGAAGCATAGACACAAAGAAAAAACAATAACTGGGAGGATATTGAGATGTGAGAGCTGCTGACATCTAAATATCAGTGCCTGAGGAAGCCGGCACCAAAAATAAAAGCAAAGTTGGGGCAATGCAGTTCTACAAATCCTGCAAATAATCTTCATCAATCCATTAAAGAAAAAGCTATGAAAAGTTTTCTTTTCCCATAAGAAAATCACTTCACACCATGTACTCCATACACAATAATACTATACAATCCTACAAGTGCCTGATGTTTCTATTTGACAGACATTCCCATGGTATCAGCTGTCCTAGGTGCTTGCCAGGATGTTGCTGTCCCACACAGCTATTTCCTCTCAGGGCCAGGTGATTGACAAAGACACAACAGACCACAGAGCCAAAACGACCCAGTGCTTTACTGCCAAGCACTCTGGGTTACAGGACTATTCCCATACTGAACAAAAGCATTGAGCAACTGAGCACAGAGAGCCATATCAATTTCAGCTTTAATGAGCACCTTCTGTAGTCAAGCCTAATAAGCAGCGTCACCAGCTATCATCTCTGTGTATACTTACGGGAACATGAAAAAACACATTTTATGATTGCGGCTGTTACTCTAAGACTAACGCACAGTCAGCCAGTGGCAGATTTATGTTGCGATAATGATAATATAGTTTATATGGAAGTGAGTAAAACATGTTTTTCAGCTATCGTACTCATCTCATCACAGCACAAAACGCGATTGTGAAGCGACATCCGTCGGAAATGAAGGAAAAAGTGCAGATGTGACAGAACACCTATCTCTGGGTTTGGGGGTTGCCTTAAGTTGTAAACAGCTGCATGTCATCCAGCTTAGAGCAATGAGACGTGACCAAGTCTCCCTCCCTGCTGCACATCTCCCAGGACCTCTTCAAGGTGAGATACCATCAGAGTGATAACATCACATGCGGGCCCCAAACATCCCTCCGTGAACAATATCACTGATTTT